CATTTATCTTATGGAGGGCTTATTAAACCTACTGATGAATGGCTAGCAAAAATTATAGAATGGAATAAATATTTCGAAATATATCACGATGAATCGTATAAAAAAGGCCCCGGAGTTGTACAGAATTAGTCAGTGGAAACAGTTTTACCTTTTACTTTAATAAAAGATTTTTGTAAATTAAGAACTATAATAAGAATTAATTATAGAAATCTTAAACAAGAAAACTATAAAATATTGAAAAGAATGCCTTCTGAAAATGGTGATTGTCGAAAAAAAATTAAAAAGTTAAGTAAGATAATCACATAATAAAAAATATAGCTCATTAATTTAAATAAATATTAGACAAAATACTTGTAAATTTATTGACGCACTTATTAAATCCGAAAATTCTACAGTAGTTTGCATTTAGTAGTAATTTAATAATTAATTAAGAAATGATTTAATATTTTATCGTATTTTGTTATTTGAAAAATCTGTCATGTTGAAGTAGAGGGCTTGTTGTGACGTCACATAGATCCAAGGTCACGCTAATAAATATACGGGAACTGGCTATCCTTGTAGTTTAAAGTCCTTCTTCTTCTTCTTTGTTAATATGGAGATTTTAGCTCTTTCTAAGTTTAAAGTCCTTGGTCTTGACTTTACGTTTATAGACCTTGTAAGAGTATAGTTACACCTATCGCCATCTGTTGAGCGCTCAACGTCATATTTTTCGCTAATAAATTCAGTAGAAAATCACGATGGCTGGGTCTACTGTTAGTTAGTCACGCTTGTATAATGTTTTTAAGAAATTAATTAAAAGAAAAAAAGAAAGAAAAAGAGAGAAAAACAAGCAACTTAAGGCTGAGTGCCACCATTACGTATTGAGGAAAAATACGAAATTTCTGTGAAAAGTTTCTAGTGCCATCTTGTGCCAAATTTTGAATGACGAACTTGTTGACGTAAACTTATTCGTTCATACCGTTGATTGGACAATTTCCCGTTTATTGACGGGAAATTGCCCAATCAACGAAATCGAAAGTAATTTTAAGTTTCATAGGTCGTTCATTAATTAGGGTGTCGCTTATATGATGTAGATTTATTTACATTTTAAAGTTACGGATTTGACATGCTTACATTTTTATTTAAGAGATATTTTAAGAATGTTTTTTAGTTTCGGTTTTTTATTTATCTTTGCTTGTGTTTCATCTTGTTTTACCTTGGAAATAGTTAAAAAATATCCCGCGAGTTGTGCGACACGTGACTGTACTGTCTGGGTAAGAAATTCCAGCTTTAAATTTATTTCTGTAGTTTTCATAAATTGAATATCTATTAATTACACGTGTTTAATTAATACGTGTTTATACAGTAAACAATTTCGTAAACTCTGAACCCTCAATTATGGTTCCCCCAGAACTGTAGACCCCTTGTAAGAGAGAGAAGTCAAAGGAACCAAACATGTATATGCAACCCTTCACGAGATGTTCGTCTCCAAAGATCAGTTTTTAGTGTTTACCGGTATACTGTCTATTCTCCATGCTGTGTGTCAATCAAGGCAAGTGATCGCTCACCTTGCTTGGCTGGTGCTCCGCACCTAGTTGCTCTACTCCCTGTGACCTTAATGACTGATGCTTGACCTGTAGTTGCTGATGCTCTGCGTGTAGTTGTGCACTTTGGTGCTCCCTATCACTTGCACCTCAGTATCCTCTTGGAGATGAGCCCCACACTCCCTAAAACTATATAGCATCAAGTACTCCAAACAGTCAAGTGGGCTATTTAAAGCCAGCATAGTTTCTTGGGCTAAATAGTTAAATGCAGTAGTCTTAGTGGAGCAACATCACTCACGATCACATGAGATCTGGAAGTAGGATAATTTTGGGGGGTTGTATCTTGCAAAGAGTCACATGTAGAGGTGTGGTTCGTTTCACTTTTTTGCTCCTATGGGCAAAGTTATAGCTCTAATAAGATCTCAACCATCTCATTCAGAGGTATAATTGTATCAAGGCAGTTGAAGTGGCAGCTTCAAAGCTCTCAACCTGTAATTTTGAAAAAAGCTAGTATTGTGGCCATAAGAGCCAGCAGCCAAAATTTCAATTGAAATGTGGTGGTTTTAACAATTTTGAAAGAATTCGCTACTGCAAGGTGTACAGAAATGATAATCTTATTTAACAACATATCGGGTATGTAAAGATGTTTGATTATTGCTCCTGTTTTGTACTTTTGGTCATTTTGCATTTGTTATACTAATGTATTAGTGTAAAACAGTGATGCCTAAACTATGGCCTCTTGACTAGATATGGCTGTGAAAATATTTGACATATCATCTCTAAATGATACAAATAGACTTACTTTTTATATATACAAAATACTGTATATAAAATATTAAAGAGTTTAGAACTGGTGTAGAACAGTGATTCAAATACAGGAATGAAACCCAAGTGGAGTCGCAATTCATTTGTGATTGCACATATGCTTTTACATAAACATTTCTCTGCTTTAAAACTCTTAAAATGTTGTCTATGCTTATATATATTAATTAGAAAATTCTTGAGAATTTCTTAATCCTGTGTCTGCAGGGATAAAGGAACACTACCAGTAATTCAATGTTGAATTATCAGTAGCATTTCTACCCATCTGCAGATGCAGGATTATGGAATTCTCAAGAATTCCAAATATATATATATGTGTGTGTGTGTGTGTGTGTGTGTGTGTGTTACCGGTCAAACCCGATTTCAGGCCAAACTAATTTGTCCTAGGCCAGGGGTCGGCAACCTTTTGAGTCAGAAGAGCCAAAATTACAATTTACAAAATTTCAAAGTTTTTAAAGAGCCATAAAATTTTTTCTTGCCAACAATAAATAGTACTCGCATAAATAAAGTTTTTTGATAAAAAAAACTATTTATTCATAAAAAAAAATATCTATTTATTCATATATAAGTAGTGTTTTTCACAACAAATTAGATAATAGAAACATCCAACGACAGCGTCATTCGAGAGCTTCCAACGGACTGACGACAGTGACGACGCGTGTTACGGGGGAGGGGTGCGGTGAAAAGCGAGTACAAGTGGCTGAGAGATAGAATCAGTGCCTAATCCTCGTTAATTGATTCAGAACGATTTTTAAATGTTTTTTTTTTTTTTTTTTTTTTTAAAAAAAAAAAAATTTGCAAATGGAACAGCTTCACATCCAAAGAGCCGCATGTGGCTCGCAAGCCGCAGGTTGCTGACCCGTCCTAGGCCAAACAAGTTTATCCTACGCATGTCAGGATATACTAGTTTAGCCTAGGACAATCTAGTTTGGCCTAAATCAGTGTTTCTCAACAGGGCGATATCGCCCCCATATGGGCATTTTTCCATGTTGAGGGGGTGAAAAACAATTTTCTGGGTGATATAGTAAAATATTATATTAAGAATAATTAGATACTTTATTCGTTATATCATACAATAATTAAACAAATAACATTAGTCACTACAGTAGTCTATTCAATGCAGTACAAATTTGGTGTTAGCCTTGGCCCTCGACATCGGAATTTTGAAGTGAAGGGGGCGATACGTAACAGTTTTATTGAAGGGGGTGACGATTCGTTAGAGGTTGAGAAACACTGGCCTAAATACTTTAGGCTTAACTAGTTTGTCGTAGACTGAACTGATTTAGAATTATTATTTAAGTCAGGCCTGGCCAACCCAAATTGTTTCGCAGGCCACTTTTATCACGTGTAACATTACAATGGGCCACAATTTAGGCAAACATGCTTTTAAAAAAGTAAAACAAANCAAATATTCCAGCATAATATTCGAAATCTCGAATATTAGAAAGTATTCAAGTATTGGAATATTTGTAGATAGTACTCCCCATCTCTACTAATTTTGGAATATTGTTATTCTTAAATTTTACAAATGAAAAATTTTAATTTTGTAAATATTTCATTATCCATCTGAATTTAAAGTTATCAAATTCCAATCAATCAATCAATCTATTACGTAGAAAATAGAATAGAAGTTTGACCTTGTTAAATAATCTAAAAATTGAAAATTTGAGGCATACTATGTTCTGAATCCATGAACATTTAAACATAATACATAAAATATGCAGCTAAAGTTGTTGATAAGTTTCATTCTAAAAATCATTAGCTATATCATCTTAATTTATATCTTCTTTTTATCATAGTTTTTCTGTTTTTTACTGCCAAGTCTTTGTCATAAAAATCTGTCTTTAAACTTTAAAAAAACTATAGTTTTTGAATTTACATTCTTTTATATTATATAAAAATGAACACTACAAATACCTAAGATATGTGCACCTCGCTGGCATCTTAGGTATTTGTAATGTTCATTTTTATCTAATAATAACCAGTTGTTAAGTAGCAGTTATCAGATTACTTTTATATTATACTAAAATTGTCTCTATTCATCGAAATTTAGCTTCATTATTATTCCATGTAAAAAAAAAATTAAAACATGAGTTACAAAGCAACAGAAAAAAAAAAAGGAATATAAACAAAAGTAATATAAGAAAGAGGGAAAAAATTGATTATGATAAAGTGATAGAGAACAAATAATAGAAAATTAAGAAGATATTAACAGCAGCAGTAAGAGAGAGACTGAGTTGCCCAAAAATTAAATAAACCAGATAACGATGATAATGAAAGTCAGAAACACAGTCTATTGATGCAAAAAGTTAGCATTTAAAGAATTGCAAATATATTTCAACCCAGTATGGAAAAAAAGCTATAGCTAAATAAGCAAAAATTAAAACAGCAATAAAAATAGCTCATTGTGAAACAATGCAAGGATGGTTTATGAAACTGGAAACTGAAGTAAAAGAAAAAATTATACATAGAACTGCCTGAGAAAAGATAGTAAAGATAAGGTATAAACTATTAAAGTTAAGAGAAATGGAAAGAAATAATTGAAAACTTTGCTAAATATTGAAAATTAACAACTTACACCATATGCAAAGGATGGAAGGATCAGCAAAGATCATACAGAAAGGAAAAATAAAAGGAATATATCAGAGAATGAAAAAGGGCCAGAAATATCCAAGGCATCTGTTGAATTTACCAAAACACTAGATGAAGCAAAACTAGAATGGCTACAGACCTATTTAATTATGATTTGAGAAACAGATGATTGGAGAAAGAACAGTTATATCAGCCTAGAAAAACAAAATGTTTCAATTGAACAACAGCTACTCAATGGACATTATTAACTTACAAGGAGAACATCGCTACATGAAACTTGTGTAATATTTAGTACTAACATTTATTTGGTAGTTAAACACATGCTGTTTATCCCTCTAAGATATTTCTCTGATGTCAAAATTTCTATTTTTCTTAAACTAAAATACAGACTATTTGATGAACAGAGTGAAGGTTTAAAGCTTTTTATCAGTGACATCATTGTATTATCATGAAACGTTTCATCTTAATGCAATGAAGTCACTGCTACACAAGTTGTCTAGCCACTCAGAGAAAATTACTTTCCATATGAAAAAAACATCCATATTATAATTAGTAACTTTAGAGAGATGGTGATGGGCAAATTCCAGATGATTCAGATGATATGCATATTCTCAGTTATGATTCACTGCACCAAGCTATCACCAGCAGCATGGAGGAAGTGTTATGATTTTAGAAGGCAGTCATTTCAATGACAAATCTAATGTAAAAGTTGTCAATCAGAAGTATAATAGCAGTGCTTATCGAACAACATTCAAGCACATGTTTCTCCCATGAATCAAGCATCAGTTTGGCTACAAAAAATGAATAAGGCAACAGGATAATGTATCAACACACAAAGCGTAATGGGTCATCTAGCCAACAATATGAATGTTCTGAAATGACCCGAAAGAAAAGTTCAGATCCAAGTATTGTAGAAATTATTTGGCATCTTTTAGAATGCAGATATGCCAAGATCAACAACGACCATGAAGACCTGATTAATCAGTCAGGTATTCAGGTACTAATTTCAAGTTATAATCATGGACATATGCAAGTCTATACCAAAACAACTTCTTGAGATAGTTAAGTAGAAAGATTAGATACAGTAAAAAAAACTATACCAACATTTCAGTCATTTGCACATTGTGTGATTGATTTTTTAGTGGTAAATATTATTTACACTAAAATCTTAAGTTTAATAAAAACTTGTAATAGTCTCATATCTGCACAGTGTCGTTTCATACCATTATATTCCCAGATCTCTATGTTAGTTCTATGAGTTGCACATTACATGCCAGATCAAAATGCAAAATGAGGAAAAACATTTTGGCCAAATG